ATTCTTACTTGACGATGTAAGTCAGAAAAATCTAGAAAAGAAGTTGGGCCTGGTTCACATGCCCATTCCTGGGTCCATCACTATGGCTAGGGGGATAGGGGCACTCTGATTCAGCCTAGGTTTATACCTATTTCAGAGTGGTGGGGGGTGGGGGAAGTATATTTTGTTACCAGAAGTGAGGAGGAGGTATGTTGGGGAAATAGCAGCAATGACCAGCTCAAGGAAAGGGAACTTGATCATTTAAGTTAATCCTGTAGTGAATCCCTTATTTTTTGCATTGCTTAAAGCCAGAGCTCTTATTTTCCATTTGTGGCTTTCTGATTTTTTCAGAAACATTGAAAAAAATTATTTGTTACTTAATATATCTCCTTTCTATTTATATTTCATCTTTAGATGAATTATCTGTTGTATATCATCTTAGTGGAGAGGAAGGGACTTATACTTGGCCAGTTGGGCAAGTTCTGTTCCAGAATTTGAACTGCAAAGTAAGTGATAGAAGAATATGTGGCAACATTTGAAGGACAGACGGTTCGTTGGTATGTCCTTGCTGGTGATTCTGGTCAGTTATTTTAGCCCGGTTGTGGTGTTGATTCAATGAGTCTCATACCTTCCCAGGAAAGTCTCTTTTTGCTAATAATGGCCAGAATCAGAACTCGGGTGCCTGATATGGTATTACTAGTCACACAGAGCTATTTAAATCTAATTTTAAATTGATAAAAAAATTAAAAATTTAGTTCTTCAGTTGTAGTATTTGAAATATGCACTATTTGAAATAGCTACATGTAGCTAGCTAGTGGCTATTATATTGGGTGTACAAATTATAGAACATTTCCATCATTAAAAAAAACTTAATCACATAGTACCATTGGACTGTAAGTTCCTTAAGGATAGGAATTCTGTTTTTGTTATTCTCTGGTATATCTGTAACACTTAGGACTAGGCTTAGCATTTGTAGGTAGTCAGTAAATATTTGTTGAATGTTGAAATGACACACATGAGCTGCCTGCCACAGAAAACCTAGGCAATAATCATCATAATTAGCTACCTGTACTGTGAAGAGAACTTGGAATGACTCCATCTCACTGTTACTCCTATTGTTTCTGTTTAAACTTTTCTGTAGTTCCATTCTCTGTTGTACCTTGGCCCTCTGGTCTATCAACTATTTCTTCTTCCATTATTTCCATAATTACTTTAAAAATATAAAGTACTTGATCTCATAGTTTCTCATTTGGCAACTTCTTCATCCTTCACCTTTTGATTTCTCCTCATGGCCAACCCATTAAACCTATCTTTTCAACAATATTTGCTGATTCTCTGAAATCTCTATTCCATTACCAATAATTTTTTTTGCAATCTCCACATTTTAAAAAAAATATACCCTCACTGAAACCTGACCTGGTCCTGGCAACCCTTTTAAGTGGAATTAGTCTTCCTTCCTCTTTCCTGCAACTAGGGACCAAGAAGGAAATCTGTGTTTATGAACCCCACTTTTGCTTCTAGACAATTGATTGACTAACTTGGGTTAAAATGGTTTTGCTTTTGATACTCATTGCATCCATCTTATTCCTATTTTCTTCTCTGTCATTGACTAACCTGCAAGATATTCCCCAACAGTCGCTGAAGACCTTGACTTCTGGCTCAATTTGTTTTTATTCTCTACCCTTTGCCATTGTTCTTTGTGACTGCACCATTCATATTGTTGACCCGTCTAACACCTCAGCCTTATAGTGTATCTTCCCTCTGGTACTCTTTATCCTTATTCCACTTTAGCGGACCCTACGCTTAGCCATTTCTTGGACTTTTGGTCATCCCTTAGAACTGATCATTTCAAAGACATAAATTTTTTTCTCTTATCCCCTTCAATCTCACTGAAGACACTGCAGTTTGATATTCAAATTGATATTGAAACTAGTTCTTGTACTTTTTTCTTCTTCCAGTCTCTTAGCCTGGCTCCCTTGCTTCCCATTCAGCGTGGCATCTATTTGTCCGCTATTCACTTGTACCTGAGCAAAAGCTCCTGGATGTAAATTCTCTTAACTTCTCACGGAGAATTTCTGTATCCTCATCCATTCTCTCCTCCCTTTCTATTTTAATGAAGATATCCATTCTCCCTTTACTTCTCAAGAGTTCTGAATCCCATCCCTTTTGTTTCTCTAGAGTCTTACTTCATTATCTTCTTCATCTGTGTCTAATTTCTTTACCCTGGACTCTTATTTTGCCTTCAAGGTCCAGCTCAAATTGCATGTGTCTTATGTAGCCTTTACTAATAGCTTTTTTTTTTTTTTTTTGAGAGACAGAGAAGAGTGGGGGAGAGGGAGAGAGTGAATCTTAAGCAGGCTCCATAGGGCTCAATCTCAGAACCCTGAGAGCATGACCTGAGCTGAAATCAAGAGTCAGAGGCTTAACCAACTGAACTACCCAGGTGCCCCTGCCTTTACTGATATCCTGATGAAAGTTAGTTAACTGCACTTTATTCTGTACTTTTTAGTTCTATTTTAAGACTTGCTTTCTTTTGATTTGTTGTGACATACCTTAAATATTCAAAACCTTCTCACCAAAAGAGATACTATATTTTATTCCTAAGTGCAGCATTGCCTTTTGAAATAATTTGTTCTGAACACTTGTTACTGAGATTAAGACCATTGAATTTATTCCTAAACGCTAATCAGCTCTGTTAATTTTTATTTAGGTTAAATTCCACTATCCCTTATAATCCTAACTGTAATCTCAAATCATGGACTAATTTTCTTTTTAAAAAACCCATCATATCAGTTGTAGATTCTGACCCTGCCTTAGTGAGGTGAACTGAAGAAAACTTTGTATGTCCTCTTTTAATAGTCTACCATAATGGTATTTACTCCTTTCGTATTTTAATGAAAGTCAAATACTCTTTATCATTGGTTTCTTTGGCTTCAGTTTTTACTTATGGGGCATTGTTTCCTTTCTTATCTATATAACTTATTTAGAAAACATTTAGGCCACATTGCTTTCTTAACAGGATTTTGTTTCTTATTGATTTACCAGATGTATCCAAAATCTTGACCAGAGCTAAGATTTACTTGGGGCCTAACTTTCTAACTCTGGCCCTGAGCTGGGACCCACAGTATTTTCTCCTCTGTTTGTATCGTCATGATTTTGTAGAAAGAAACCTTTATTAACTCGATAATCTAAAAGCACCAAGTTAATAACATCTATAAACATTTAAGGGTGAAATGCACAGAAAGTTTGAGAGAGTAATAATGTAGTTGGAATTATGAAATAAGGGTATGACTGGTACTGTTAAAGGAGCCAAGTAAAAGCAAGACTGTCCCTTTTTCTTTAGATCCATTGTTTCTGGCATTTGTATGTAAATATCTCAGGAAGCATTGGGTCTTTGGTTTCTGCCATGTCATATTGTCTAGTCACCTTACACATTTAAATGTCTAACCCGGGATTTGGGTTGGGTCATTCAGTCCATCTACAAATATTTATTGAATACTTATTAGTGTCTAAAGCACAGCTCTAGGCTCTTGAGACTGTTGTCTTTCCAATAAGCAGTTCTAACTGGATTGATAAGACATGCTAATAATGCCAAACTATATATACTAAATGCCAAATGACTTGTATTTCAGATAAGTGTTTAAAGAATTTTAAAAAGGGAGAGGTTAAGGGCATATCCTATCACATATTGGCATATCCTATTAGCTTAAAGTCTTTCACATGTGGTTAGTTATTTGGTTACCAGAGATACTCTACATTTTAAGGTTCTGGTTGAAAATGTATCATTCCTTTTGAAAAGGACATACATTGTATAAACATTCATCTCAGGAATGAAAGCTCATATTTTATAAAATATACTATGGTGTCTTATACTAGATAGTTTTCTTGTAAATTTTGAACTTAAAATCATTAAAATCGCTGCATAATGAAATGGGAGAGGAACACTTAGTTGGGTTATAAGACCCAAGTTGGTTGGTTGGTTGGTAGCCAATATGATTTGGGCCTGAGCCTTAATCTCTTTATTTATAAAATTGAAATGACTCTGCTTACTTTCCTAGAATTATTGTGAGAAATTACTACAGTTAAAAATGACCTTGGGGCAACTGGGTGGCTCAGTCGGTTAAGCATCTGCCTTTAGCTCAGGTCATGATCTCGGGGTCCTTGGATTGAGCCCCAAGTCAGGCTCCATGCTCAGCAGGGAGTCAGCTTCTTCCTCTCTCTCTGTGCTCTCTCTCTCTCACTGCTGTCTCTCAAATAAATAAATAAAATTTTTAAAAAATGATCAGCCTTAATTAAATGCCTGTTTTACTATAGCTATATCAGAGTAGGCATTAAAGATACACTGAAGAGGGATGCCTGGGTGGCTCAGTCGGTTAAGCGTCTACCTTTGGCTCAGGTCATGATCCCAGGGTCCTGGGATCGAGTCCCCCACATCAGGCTCTCTCCTCCGTGGGAAGCCTGCTTCTCCGTCTGCCTCTGTCTCTGATGAATAAATAAATATAATCTTTTAAAACAAAACAAAACAAAAGATACACTGAGGAGCTCCATAACCTTGTGGGGAGCAAGTGAGTAGCAGTGTGTCTGAAAGCTATGAAATATTGTATGGTGATAAAGATGGCTTCTCTCACACTGGACAACTTTCTGAGGCCTTAGCAACACATTGTTCACTCTTCCACCAAAGGCCATCTGTTCAGGTTGTTCCCTGTGTTTATCAAAATCCTACTCATCAGATTTATATCTCCATGTAAACAGTCTCTCGTCTTCTTAGACATACTTGATTTCTCATCTTCTCTATGCCAGTAGTTTGTAGATTTTTCCATAGCAAAAGCAGAAATTTGTTACATTTAGTTATATATGAACACATTTAACTGCCTGAAGTCAAAATATTTATTGTTTTATCTGCCACTTTGCAAGCACAATGTCTGGTGTCAATATGGGTACCCTAATATGATTATCTAATTCATTGAAATATATGAACTATGGATTCTTAATAATATTTTTTGTTGGGTTGTGATATTTAGGTTAAAACTTCAACAACAAATTGTGAATATTGAAAACGCAGAGAAAGAAAAAAATGAAAATTCTGACCTGAAACAGGTATGATTTTAGCAAACATTTTGCTTTTATTTCTTTAAGTGCTTCTTTAAATCTGTATTTTGAATGTGTGTTTATTTTTTTATTGAAGTCTAATTAACATACAGTGTTATATTAGATTGAGGTGTACAATGTAATCATTCAACAATTCTATACATTACTCAGTGCTCATCAGGAGAAGTATACTTTTTTTTTTTTTTTCCCCCCCATCACGGTAACTATACTCAATCCCCTTTATCTGTTTCACCAGTTTGTTCTCTGTATTGAAGGGTCTGGTTTTTTGTCTCTTTTTTTCTTCATTTGTTTTGTTTTATTTCTTCAATTCCACATATGAGTGAAATCATATGGTATTTGTCTTTGTCTGTGTGACTTATTTCACTTAGCATTATACCCCCTAGATCCATCCATGTTTTTGCAAATGGCAAGATTTTTATTTTTTTTTAGGGCTGAGTAATATTCTATTGTATGTATATACCACCTCTTCTGTATCAGTTAATCCGTGGATGGACACTTAGGTTGCTTGTATGTGTGTTTGTGTATGTGGAATCTATTGGCATTTCACATATCAGTATTTTGAAAATATAATCATTACAATTGATAATGTATTGATGAGGTTGATAAAGATAAAATTTTTAAACCTCTTTAAGCTCTAGTTATTAAGCTGCTTTTCCTAACTGCTGTTTTTCTTAAGGTCTTTATATGCTGTGACCCACAATGAATTTTTTTACATTGTAACTTAAAGAACAGTATTTTAATATTCTGATTTAAAAAATTGATTAGAACATCTAGGTTTTAAGTTCCATGTAGCATTGACTTGTAACTTTTTATTTCTTACTCCATGAGCCGCATCTTATTATATCCCTATGAAATGTGAAATCTAAGGGTGGTATTTATGGAAGGAAATATATATTTAAAGAGTTATTTGGGTTTAAGAAAAATTTATATGGGCAAAACATGGAAGAGTGTTCTTTCCTTGATTCTATTTTCTTTTTTGTTTAAAGTTATGAGGTAGTGAAGATTCCATTTTTAGGATTTATCTTGCAAGCTAGCTGGCATTGCTTTGCATATGCAGTTGTGGTTTCTAAGTCTCAACTAGGAGGACATAATGTTTGATACTCTGAGAGAAGTTATTTAGTACCATGTGCATTGGGCTTTCTGTCATTTATTAGATAACGAGAGATATTAAGCTCCTTGAAAGTTGCTTGTTTAGTCAACTGTAATACAGATTTAATATTTACAACTCCAGTTAAAAATGAAGACTGACTTGTTCTTAATGGGGAAATTTATTCTGAAGTACAAATCTGAGACATACCATTTTACTTTATTTTGACAATTGTCTTATTGGCTTCGCTGCCATCAGGAAATACTGGAATTATTTTGCATTTATTTAATTTATTGAGTAAAGAATCTGGTTTCTTTCGACTCTTGAGTCTCATAATGGGTTCTTTTGGTCCTGTGTCTCTTGATTCTCTCCTTCCACCTTTTCTCAGAGAATGGCTAAGAGGTAAGACAAGGTGAAAGAAAATGAGTATTTGCTGGGGCACCTGGGTGGCTCAGTCAGTTAAGCATCTCTCTTCAGCTCAGATTATGATCCCAGGTCCTAAGACTGAGCCTCGCATCGGGCTCCTTCCTCGGCTGGGAGTCTGCTTCTGCTTCTCCCTCTCCCTCCCCCTACCCCCACTTGTGCGCTCTCTCTCTCAAATAAATGAGTAAAATCTTTAAAAAAAGAGAAAATGAGTATTTGTTAATTAATTGGTAAAATGGCTTATGGAGGAAGTAGGTATAACTGTGCTCCAAGTGAAGATTATTTGGATGGAACTTAAAAGCCTGTTAATTTGTAACTAGATAATTAGCTACTTTTCATGAGAAAAATTACTCCCAGATAAAGGTAAATTAGGATGGAGAAGAAACCTGAGTGACATTTCATGGTTTGATAAATGGCTCTACGGGCCAAGGAATCCTTGCCATTCTTTAAGTTTCTTAGAATATCTTTCTTCTGCCCAATGCTGAGTGTATGGAATGCTTTGAAACTACTTAAAAACAATGTAAAAGCGATCCCTTCTGTATTTATGATTCCTAACTATTTAGAAAGCAGAACTCCTGGAAGGGTTGCTGATCATAGGGTATCTGGAAATGGGAGAATGGATTTCCTTAGCAGCTTTCCCAGCTGATGTGCTTTTAAAATCTGTTCTTTCCTAGGAGGCTATAGGAAGTTCAATGGAGAATCTCTCTAATGGTTAGATTCTCCTTTCTCTCTTCTCTCCTCTCCTTCTTATAACCCTTTTCCTACTCTCAATACCTCTTCTGACCTGCTTATTTTGGGAAGAAGAGGAGAGGACTTAGTGGCAGACTAAGGAATCTGGTTCTTGATATTCTCTGGTTATATTAGGAAATGATATATATATAGGAATATATATATTCCTATATATAGGAAATCCTATACTATTGGATCCCATGCTGCTGCTGTTTACTATTTAATTTCAGAGTGTCCTCAAGGACACATCAGTTGGGTGGGGCATTTGTGAAGGAAGATGCTTACTATCTTCTTTCTCATATGGTATTACATATGCAGCCTTATGTTTCTCTTTCCTTTCTTTTAAGCAAATCAGTAGTTTGCAGATCCAAGTGACCTCGCTTGCACAGTCAGAGAATGAGTTGCTGAATTCAAACCAAATGCTGAAGGAAATGGTGGAGAGGTTAAAACAAGAATGCCGAAATTTAAGAAGCCAAGCTGAAAAAGCACAACTAGAAGTTGAAAGGTAGAGTTTGCTCTTTTTTATATACAAACTACTTCTTCTTTCTGCTATATTATATGTAGTTCTTCTAGTGATGATTCCAATATTGAATGTGTTCTGGGAACTAGTTACAAATACCCTTTGACAGTGTACAATGGTATTAGGTAATGTACTTTGTTTCTAGAGAATGAGCTTTATGGACTCTTGAATTTTTTTTTTTTTAAGGCATTTAGGGCAGAAGACTTTTTAAAATTCTGCCTAACCACATTCTGAAAACCCTCAGAGAAACACTTTTTTATTCATTGAGTAAACCAATACATTAATATATTTTTTACTTCAAATATCTAAATTGTTCTTCTGAATGCCAGAGAACAGAAAAAAAAAATTCTGTAACTTGCAAAACTCCCTAAAATTAGAACTATAATCTCTTGGATTTTTACTTTGAATAGTTCATTTATTTGTTTATTTTTTGGCCTCAATTTGTTAATAATAGACAGTGTATAGTAAACTGGCAAGGAGGTGATTTTTGTGATATTCAAGCACTTATATTCTCTGGAAAATTTTGTTTAGGTATGATAGAAAGCTGCTTTTTTTTATTTGCTTTGTCTTGTTAACATGTTAGTATTTTTTTTTTTGTTTCTACAAAACATTATTCTTTTTGGATTTTCTCTTCTGAAGGTTACTTTGCCACATAAAACTTTTTTTCCTTTAGTTTCTCATTATTTCATATTTTAAGGCTTTCCATAGTTTCACACATGCAAATTTTAAGAAAAGAAAGTAAGCAAGGTGTTTGTCCATAGTACATTGTGACATTCCACAGGGTCCAAATTATTTTGCTTATATTTTGCAAAAAATAGAAATTTATATCTTGGAATCCCCAAGTGTTTGATTAAAATGCACTTAAGAATTGTAATGACAGTATACCTAGCAAAATTAAATCATTTGTCATTGGTTTCTGAATGTTACTCATAGGATTATATAGTAGAAAATAGCTGGATGAAGTGTTAATCAAATATGATTTTGGTCCCAGCTAAAATACTTAGTCTTGTATGACCTTAGACACAAGATATGATATCTCATTTTATAAATCTCATTTGTACTGCCATATTATATGTAGTAATGATACTAAAAATTATGCAAGGTATGCAGAAGAACTTTAAATATATAAGTTGTTATACTATCTTAAAATACCATTTATATGAATTTTATTCTATTCAGAAAACGTCCTACGTTGGTTTTTCAGTCCTGGGTTGATTTTTAGCCAGTTTTATTAGACCCAGTTGTTGTTTTTTTTTTTTAATGTTTCAAGTTTTTATTTAAATTCTAGTTAGTTGACATATAGTTTTAGTTTCAGGAGTAGAGTTTAGTGATTTATCACTTAGATATAACACCCAGTGCTCATCACAAGTGCCCTTCTTAATACCCATCACCCATGCTAGATCCAATTTTTATAGCTTGGTGGTTATCATGGTTCAAAGCTGGTTATCAAGTGTTTGTCCTGCTGTTAATGTCTTAAGCAGACTCCTCGTTGAGCAGAGAGCCCGACCTGGGGCTCTATCCCAGGACCCTGAGATCATGACCTGAGCCGTAGCCAGACGCTTAATCCACTAAGCCACTCGCCCCCTTAGGTGTAAGTCTTTAAGCAAATTTGTTAACTACTTTCTAGGCTTCAGTTTCCTTATCTATAAAATGGAGATGATAGAAGTACCTAACTCAAGAGGTTATTGTGAAGAGTAAATGGTGTAGTATACACACTGTCACAGTGCTTGGTTCACAAGAGGTATTCAGTAATGAGAGAATTAGCAAATATGTGACCATGCAAGAGAACCAGCAGTTGGATACTTAATGTAGTGAAGCAGGTAGTGAGTTTGATTATACTTGGGATAATATCTATTTAATCTTAAGAGTTAACTTCCATGTTTTGCATACATTCTTTTGACAGGACTTTGGAAGAGAAACAGATACAGTGGTTGGAAGAAAAGCATAAGCTTCAGGAACGTATCACTGACAGAGAAGAAAAGTATAATCAAGCTAAAGAAAAACTGCAGCGAGCTGCAATTGCCCAGAAAAAGGCAAGTGGTTCTTATTAAAGTGATTTCTATAGAGTAAAACATAATTAACTATTCTGGGAGAATAAAATGTAATTAAAACTGAAATTTTCATGTATGTTTAATTTGATATTTAAACGTGACATTTTGCTGTCAACCTTGCAGAGATAAATTGGGAAGACGCAAACTGCTCAACAGGTTTATTTCTAAATTTCTTGTTCCAAGTCTGTTTTTCAGAGCCGAAATGCATTTTCCCCACCGTGTTTTTTCATTGATAAAGTTTCTGGACTAGCCCATATAAGTCTTATTTAACTCATTCTGCACTTAATAAGATTACAGGGCAATTGGGTCTGTTTTAGCTATGCTTAACTAATACTTGTTTATAACATCCTTTTTGTGGTTAAAATGCTTTTTTGTTTCCAACTCAGAAATGTAGAGCAAGTATCTCCTTGCCCCAGGAGAAAGTTGCCCCCCCCACCCCGGCCTGGCTTCTGAAACAGCCGTTATAGTTACCACAGCTGTGATCTTTTTTAAGTTTCACTTTGCAAGCGTATTTGCTCCATAACCTAAAAACTTTGTTTTCTTGGAAATAGTTCAGAGCATCATGGAAATAATATAATCAGATGATTCATCTAAGTCAGTGGTTTACAACTTCTTTTCTACTGCAGAAAACCCAAGGAATGTAGCATGGCCCCATCAATAACCATGACTCATGGTGCAGTGATTCAGCCCTTACTTTCAACAAGATTTGCTGCATGTGTATGGAGGTGCGGGGTGAGGAGTAGCATTAAAAAAAATCCCATAAATGATGTAACATGCCCCCACTTGATAAGTTCCATTAGTAAGGGCATTTGTTTTGGGGAAGCAAGAAGGTCTGAGATGAGAGGAAGGCGCTTCTAGACATAGGCACACCAGTATCTTAATATTAGTCTGTATGTTTATTGGAAAGGTTAGCTCTTCATATTTGCATAAGAGAAGAGAACTCTATATCATTTACATATTCTGAATTTGGAAACCAAAGACACAGTTCCTAGTCACCCATTTATGGTAACTGGATCTAACTGCCAAATGCATCCTGATAGTTGGAGTGACAGTAGGAGAAGTCTACAAGTCATTGTTTTCCCACTTTCTTGATTTCTGAATATTGCTTCTCTCTTCCCATAATGCTGGAGGTAGTATAACATTGAGATTAGAAAACAGCATTTACTATCTGGGACTCTCGGTGTTTTATACTCAGATACAAACACTGTCTTTGATTTTCCCCCTGTGTCTATCATTTCTTTTTCTTTCTGTCCATATAAGTACTGAGTACTTATGGGTATTAATGGGATTTCAGTGAAGTGTTTTATGGCTTGGGATGATCTTAGAAATTTTACTTATGGTACCTTGTACTGTTTGAAGCCTAGAAGCATCTAAAGCCAGATTTTAGCCAAAAATCGGTAGAAATTATAAGAGCTGATTTTATCTTTCACAGAGAAATGTTTGTGTTAAGGTTTTAGAGGTAAGCATTCTAGAGATGAGGGTGCCTGGGTGGCTCAGTTGGTTAAGCGACTGCCTTCAGCTCAGGTCATGATCCTGGAGTCTTGGGATCGAGTCCCACATCGGGCTCCCTGCTCAGCAGGGAGTCTGCTTCTCCCTCTGACCCTCTTCCCTCTCGTGCTCTCTATCTCTCATTCTCTCTCACACAAATAAATAAATAAAATCTTTAAAAAAAAATTAAAAACAAAGTATTCTAGAGATCAGATTCTAATTACTACTGGGGTTAGTTTGGGTTGACTTCTTTTGGAGCAAAAGTGACATCCAGTGGTGAGAGAGGTGGTTACCAGCTAATCGTAGGTATACTAGAAAGAGGGGAAGAGCTGATAATTTAAGAAACCTGGCAAAATAACCTTTCATCAATATTGTGACCTGGGGTGAATTTTTTTTTCTACTGAAATACCAGCCAAATGATGGGTGTGAACATAGCAAATATCCATATCATTTTAAGAAATGTGATCTGTGAGTTATGATTTTAAGTCATAGGAAATTGTTAAGTTCAGTTCAGTGAATAATTATGACCCCGAGCTTATGGGACACTTCCTTAGAGGCATACAACTTTAAAGTGGGAAAATAGACAATATATGTTACATAGAAATACTATAAAAAGTCTGTGAGTACATATAATTTTAGGGCTGGGGGATTTTAGCATTCAGATAGTTCTTACAGATTAGGAAACTGAAGTGGTAGGTAGCCAAGATTACTTGACTAGTAAGATTCAATGCCATAACTAAAATTTACATTTTTCTGTCCTTAATCCTGTGTTCTTTCTGTGCTTTTACTCTTTTAATGTCCCAATTTCTTTGATTCCAAATACCTAACAGCTTTTTTCTTCATTGTACCCATATGGGTCTTATTTCTCGTGGTAGAATAATCACTATAAAGTTAATTTCTTTAATTCAAACTCTTTCCCATTCAAGTTAAAGATAATGCTTCTAAATGAAAATTTTGGCTGTAAGATTACACAAATAATTCTTAGGAGTGCAATAGACTTTTTAAGTTCTTTACATAACAAAAATCATAACTTTCTTATGCAGTAAGACTTAAAACAAGTCACAAAATATTAACTGTAGGGCAAAAATCATAATCCTTTAGTGTGTGATTCTTATAACTGGGGAGTAACAGCTTTATTTTTCCCCTGAGGCTAGAAAAGATGGCTTACTGCCATCTGAGTATGTTTATTTATGCACAAAGCTTATGTCATTTCTGATAAGTGTTTTTGGGTAAGGTCTTTGTGTAATGATATTTTGCTGTGTTGATTTGTTTGGAAAAACTTGACCAGGTATCTTGAGTTGGAATGCCTTCCTGTGACTGTTGGCTTCTGTGTATGTTTTTCTCTATACATTGTTGAAGTGTGAGTATGAAGAGAGATCTCTTGGTTTGAGCACAATGGGTTGTACTTTTCCTTTTGAGGCACTTGAGATGATAACTTGTTATTTATATTCTAAGGTATATTTCTCTGAAATTATTCTTGATTAGATTATTGTTATGAATGTTTTTGGGGAAAAAAATGAACTGTAGTCTTGAAGTTGTAAAATATCTGTTGAATATGTTGTGTGGCCTAGCATTATATTCTACACGTAGGGGAAAATAGAAGCCATGGTTAATTCCTGCTTTTGATGACCATATAATCTAGTTGGAGAAATAAGATACACGCAATACCTAAAGAATACTAATAGTCACTCTCAGGTGATCTGTTTGGACACTAAAGTTTGAGACCAGGTTCAGGGAAAAGAAAGCCTGAAGACAGGAAGACCAGTTAGGAAGCTATTTTAATACAATGAGGTAAGAAGTGTGGAATGTGGGCTTGTGATATAGGAATGAAGGTAAAACGTGACACTTTAGAATTATTTTAAGTTATAGGATGTGGTGCTAAATAAGAAGGAAGAAAAAATATCAAGTGTTTTAGTTGTGAGAGGATATAAATGGAGTTGTCATGATGGAGTGAAGAACACATGTCAGCTGAGGAGTAGAAAGGCAAGATAAGTTCCACCAAACACATGTCAGAACTGAAGTGAAGGCGGCACATCCCTGTACTCACGTCCCAGCCTGTTAAGTGAGGGTACTATGTAAGTAACTAGAAATAGTGGAATGTAAAACATGGAGATCAGTAATTCAGATTAAAGATAAAGAATTAGACACTTGAGATTTTGGAGATGACTGAAGAATAAAAGTACTAAGAATTAAGTTGACTTAGAAAGAGGAACTAGATTTAGTAGAGGAATGGTCATAGAGGTAGAAGCTATGGTATGGTGTTGTAAAAGTCACAGGAAAAGAAAGGTATCAAAGATAAATGGTCATTTAGCATGATTACTGAAAAGAGTTCATTGAATTTGGCAGTAAGGTGGTAAAAGAGGAATCCCAGGTTTGGTTCTCGTATTCATGTTCTTTTGATTTTTCTATTGCTTCTTTGTGTTGTAATAATACTTGTAACACTAAGGCATCTACTTGACAATCCTGTGATTGTATTGGACCACTAAAATCAAAAGTAAAATCATTCCTTACAGCCAGTTTCCCCCTCTGAACTCTCATTTCTTTCAGTAGAATGTCATTCTTCCTATCACGTATGCGTCAAACCTTTGATTCACCCCTCCCCCATATCTAGTCACTGTATTGGTTTCCAAGGGCTGCTGTAACAAATACTGCAAACTGTGTGGCTTAAAACATCAGAAAGGTGGGGCACCTGGGAGGCTCAGTCGTTAAGTGTCTGCCTTCGGCTCAGGTCATGGTCCCAGGGTCCTGGGATCGAGCCCCGCATCAGGCTCCCTGTTTGGCGGGAAGCCTGCTTCTCCCTCTCCCACTCCCCCTGCTTGTGTTCCCTCTCTCGCTGTGTCTCTCTTTGTCAAATAAATAAATAAAATCTTTTAAAAAACATCAGAAAGGTATTATTTCATAGTCCTGGAGGTCAGAAGTCCAAAATCAAGATGCCTGTAGGGCCGTGCTCCCTCCAAAGGCTGGATCTGTTCCACACTTCTCTCCTAGCTTCTGGTGGTTGCTAGCAATCCCTGAGTTTTCCTTGGCTTATAGACATATCATTTCATTCTGTCCCTCTGTCCTCATCTGGTGTTCTCCCTGTGTGTCTTGTGGAGTTTACAATAGTTGTAGAACATGAAAGATGTAAATCAAAGATGACAACTATTCATTGTTAGTCTATGAATAACAAAAGACACTCCTGTCATTCAGGAAATTCCAAGGATTTTAGGAACTCTGTGCTAGAAACCCAGGATAAAGACCAAATAAATTTCTTTCTATATGATGGTCACATTCTGAGGTTCTCAGTGGACATAAATATTTGGGAGACACTCCTCAACCCAGTACAATCACTCGGGCCTATGAATTCTTCCTTTATAATGTGTCTTGCATTTTTTCCCCTCACCTCATTTCCTTTTATTCCTGTTGCTAACATCCTATCCACTACCAGGTTTCTCTGTATTCATTTAGCCAATTTATTCAAAAAATTTATTGAGTACCTACTTCTGTATCCATCC